TGAAAGAAGGAGGGGAGGAAGGAAGGAGAGAGAAAAGAAAGAAGGAAAGAAAGAGAAGAGAGAAGAAAGAGAAAAGGAAGGAAGGAAAAGAAAAGAAACTCAATACATGAGAAGGGTCATAGATTCATTGAGGTAGGCAGGATATCACTATGTATATTTTAAACAGGTAATAAATAGCAGAGATATTGCCAAGGGCAGGTGGAAAGAGTATTAACCCATAGAAAACTAGACAAAGTGCAATACTCTAGGATTAGACCTCAAAATTAAATCCTTCCAATAATGTTGAGCAAGTGTTTTAATATGTGTATAACCAGAGACCTGCTAGAACAGAAGTTGTAATGACTCCTGGAGGAGTGCAGGGAAGCTTCAGAGAGGAAATAACTCTTGAGCAGGCTTTCACAGCAGTTGGATATTTCCTCCACCAAAATCTCCATAAGGCACTGAAGTAATGCATTGCATTGCTGAACAGAAAATTTATGAAGGGAAATAAAATACGTCTGAGAATGGACAGCCACTTGAATTACCTGTAAAGTTCACACAACTCCAAGGTAACAGTAACAACCACAATTACTACTATTGCTATTACTGACATTTATTCTCAATACTTTATCTTAAATTATAATTTGTTAAATACTAAGAATCGACAGCACTTTAAGTTACAGAACAGAATCCATAAATGGAAGGAAGCAGTATCTCTCACTGATAAAAAATGAATGAGGACACATATTGAACAATGAGATACAGTTTAATAATATGTCTATGTGAACCTGCATAATACAGAAAAAAATCTTGCTCTTTAAATCCATTGAACAATAACAGAGAAATTGGTGTCAGAAAACTTAGATATGAGTATTCATTTATATTGAATAAAACAAAGATCAAAAGAGCTGGAATAATCTTAATTAGATATTTATTCCAGTCAATGTCTGTATCTAGTGTGCATTATTTTAAACAGTTGTCTTTACTTTCAAAATCCTTCAGCTAGAATGCCTATCCCACCATCACCTCCACTGCAGACTTCAAGACCAAAGTCTCCAGTTATTATGTTGATCAAGGAGGCAAGTTCAAACAAACATAATCAACTGAGTTATGGTAAAAATGATAGTTGGTTAAATAGTTAACTGGTTAAATAGTTTACTGGCTCAACTTAAGCACAAAGAAAGTCTAGTTTTGCCAGAATATCACAAAAGAATCTTCGTGAAGGGTATTGGGGCTGAGTCTACAAAAATTTAGCCACATTAGATTGTAAAGGAAACAAAAATTTAAAACAAAAAACTGTGTGTTTGATCAGTCATTGCTTGCCAGTATATCCTCCAGCCAGTAGAACCCCAGAAGCATTTTCCTCTGCTGATCCCACACCATCTTCTCAAATCACTCTTCTTAAGTGGCCCCAGTGAAAGTCAGTTCCACTAGGTGTGTGCTGACTCAGTCAGGACAGCCAAGAGTGATTGAGAGCTCACCTGAATGCAGGAGCCATGAGCCAGTCAGTTCATCTCTGAAGTGAGAGAAAGAACAGCTCACATCTCCGCTAATTAGATACTAGCAAACTAAATGAGTAGATTCATAGGAGTAGGCTATCATTTTACCGCCTGAATGAGAAAAGGAGAGGTGGCACAGATATGATTCTTCAGCAAATTGGCTACAGCTGCCAAATTGCACATTCAGACAGCCCAAGACAGCAACTATTTAACAGATTATCTGTGCTGGGCCTAAAATTTTCCTAAGACATGTTTTTATATATCTTATCATCAGGTGGGTCAAGGTATAGACTAGAAGTATAGATGAGACACTGGCTTAACTTTCTAAGTGAATTAAGTTAGTGAAAGTGCACAAAAAGATATATTCATTTAACACTCATGACTGATTTATTTTGCCTCAGTGCATTTATCTACAAAATGAGACAGACCAATATCTGTTTAAAGGCATCTCCTAGTATTGAGTTGAAAGTAATACAAATAAGAAATGCATTTTAAAAGTTAAAAATGCAAGTGTAATTTTTATAGTGAATGATTTTTCTCTTTAAGCTACCGATTTTTTTGTATTTTGTTTCTACCTTTGTAGCATGAGAATAGAAATGCATTTTAAAGGTTAAAAATACAAGTATAATTTTTATAGTTGAAGATTTTTCTCTTTAAGCTACTGATTTTTTTAAAGTCTTATTTTCTTTGTATTTTGTTTCTACCTTTGTAGCATGAGAATACTTTTTTTTTTTTTTTTTTTTTTTTTTTGAGGTGGAATCTCACTCTGTCGCCCAGGCTGGAGTGCAGTGACGCAATCTTGGCTCGCTGCAACCTCCGCCACCCAGGTTCAAGCAATTCTTGTGCCTCAGCCTCCCAAGTAGCTGGGATTACAGGTGCCCACCATCATGCTTGACTAATTTTTGTATTTTTAGTAGGGACAGAGTTTCACCATGTTGGCCAGGCTGGTCTCGAACTCCTGACCTCAGGTGATCTTCCCACCTCGGCCTCCCAAAGTGCTGGGATTACAGGTGTGAGCCACTGTGTTCAGGTAAGAATACTTAATACTTAGAAATACAAAGGAAAATTGTTCACATCTAACAGTAATAACATAATTAGATATTAATCTGTCAGAGTGCTTAACTCTGCTAGGTCAGCACGATTCTAAATAACAACCTGAAGGAGAACATGTCATTAATGAACAAACTTCCAAAAAGTAAATTGTACTTAAAAATTTCTTGAGAGTAGACCTCATGTTAAACATTTACCACAATATAATAAAAGAAAAATAATTTAAGTAAATAATTTGTATTTTCTTAGGTTTACTATTTGTAAATGTCTTTGTGGACTTCAGGGAAAGGGTGCTGCATATGAAATTATTATTTTACAAATCACATGTTGATTTTAGGCTCTACTAAAGAATATGATTAGAGTTTGGCTCACAGACTGTTGACAGAAAAATTGTTTGCAAATTGTACTTGGTGACTTTCACTGAATGAAAAGTTTATGAAGGTAGAAAGATTAATGTTCTTTTGTCTTTTATATTATATTCCTTCCCATTCTGTCCTTGTATATGTGCATTGTGGGAGGATAGGGAGATGACAGGAAAGATTTATTAAAGGAGGACTGTTTATTTTCTGGCCAATTCCTCATCTAAATCTAAATTCCTAAGAAAAAAAGACAAGTCTTCCATAGAACTCCTACTTGGCAGACATCAATTTCTGCTGTCATTTCCAGAAAAGCACAATGATTTAGTGTGATACTCTAACATCAGACTTTTGGGTTGAGATTTCTGCTCTGTCATGCACTAGCATGACATGGAGGGCAAATTATTCAGCTGTTTTATCTCTACATTCTCATGTGTAGAATTAGAATGGGAATAATACACCGTTATTAAGATTCAATAAGTTAATACACATAAAGTGCCCAGAACATAGTAAATGCTCAATAAGTTTTACTTACTACTTCCAAATATGTTACACATTTTAAAAAACATTTTTTATAAAAATTAATCTGCTCTGCTGTTAGAAAATAAGAGATACTTAAGGTGAAATGAAAGAAAGAAAAGTAAAGAAAGAAAATTCTATTAGTTTACTAGTCGTGGAAAAAATGCTATTTTATATCTTACTTAGAATTGAAATGGAAGACCTCAAGAAGAGAAGACTCAGTCAAGCCAGAAGAAAAAATTGCCCATGAAACTTGAACTATTGCTAGCAGAGGTCACCATGTGAAAGCAGGAGCCTGCAAGCATTGTTGAACAATCTTTTTGGAGGACAGCCCAGGGACACGGGTCAAAACCATGTAACCTTCATTCTCTACCACTCAGTGAACTCTTCTTGGGAATAGAAGAGCTAAAAAATTAGTCAAAAGGGGAATAAACTCTACTATGTTTATAAAAATGACTATTTCAATATTATGTATAATCTTGAAAAACTACGAAATGACCTATCTCATAGGGAAATGTCTAGTTGATGAAATATTGTATCATTATTAAAAGTCTACATATAAAAATTAGCAACATGGAAAACAAAGGACTGGAAAGTGTATAGAGCTTATTACTGCATCTTTATGGAAACACATTCATAAATATTTAATGAAATTATATGATAAAAAGCAGTAAGGAAGCTGAGAAAAAAATATTTGGGTTTTGTGAGTATAACTTCTTTGTACTATTCTACATTGATACTGAAAAATACAAAATTGAAACATAAGCACATATCTAAAGTATAATGCTAAAATCAGTCAAGTAACTCATGTTGTAACAAACCAATAGCTTAAATAACTGTTCAATTTCATCAATTAGTAGAGGATTTATTTTAGCTTTCTGCTGGTATTGATACTGTTACTAAAGCAGTGTTCACTTTACATGTGTAACAGGAAACCTATATGTCATGACTTAGCAAGTTTGAAGTGAAGAAACATCTTATTCATTTTTTTTCCATTTAAAAATAAATTTAAAATAGTTCATCATTCAAGTTAATTGTGATTAAAAAAAATAGGTGGCACAGTGAAAACCAACATTTATCAAAAACATATTAGATGATTTGTAGTGTTTTTAGAAGTATATGATTTCTCCTTTCAAACACTGCAAGAAAATCATGATTGATAATACCAGAGTAAATTTTTTAAAATGCCATTGTGGTCAGGCACCATGTTTCCCTTGAGGACTTTCATGAACCACAAATATAGACTGAAAGAATGTGTGTCAAGGAAGTAGAGCATGAGTTCCCTTACTGCTGACTTCAGCTCAGAAACATGACCCCACAAAGCCCACTGGAGATGAACAAGTTGCACCCAAGGATTGGACCCGCCACCCACGGTGGAAACCAGTGAAAGACCACAGGAGACCAGGTGACTCCTCCTACCCCCAGGATCAAGAAGATGCCAAGGACAGACACCACCTTGGGAAGAAGTAAGAATTGAAAGGAAGAAACCATTATAATAAGGACTTGAATTTGGAATTTCTGGAATATTTACCTCAGAGAGAAATCTCATATCAAAATGGACCATTTAAATCAGAGGAGGCAAAGAAACCATTGGCTAACATTATTTTTCTTTTTCCTTGCTACCCAGAGGGGTAAGGTAGAGATGGGGAGAAGAGAGCTTGAGTTTAAGGAACATTATATAGAACGTAGAAAAAGAAGATAACTTTATGTAAGCAGTATATGAATACCTTTCTATATTTTGGGCTCTCTGAAAAAAGAAATCACATTTTATTCTTCTACTTATCCCACTTTAAAAATTAGTTATGCAAGAAATGGCACTGAATAAATAAATCACAAGACTTGAAGGGATGAGACAGGTTTTCTAATTCATCATCTTTATTTCAGGTAGATCTACAGAATTCAGCACAGAAACCTTTTTTTCTGAGGAGCTGGAGTATTTATTGTGGGTTTGTTCTTGGCCTGTGCAGTAAGCAGGCAGAACAGTCACTCTCCACCAGCCCTACCTTTCCTTTCCTGTCCTTTCTTCCTTTCATTACAACGTTCAGACTATTTTTCTTTACTTGCTGATTGTTAATAACTTTCTGCCCTTCCTTTCCCCACCCCTCATATCAGCTTACTTTTCAAACTAAGAAAACACCAGTCTTGTTGAACCATCTATAACAAACACTAGAGCAGAATAACAAACGGATTTTTTAATCAAGGAAAAACTTGAGAAGAGGTTAAATTATTACTGTCTTGATTAGGTGGGTTGTTCAAAAGAACTTTATTTTTTTCTCCAATGAGAAATTCCTTCAGATAACCTGTTGAGTATTTGAGACCTCTGAGTCCTCTTGAGGCACTAACACACTCAATTATTTATACTGATCAAATTATAAAACACACCATACATGCAATTTATTAGCTTGACTAAGTTTTGTTTTGCTTTTGTTTTTCTTTGGTTTTATTTTCTGTGTTCCTGTTTCTTTTTCTTTCTTTTTTTTTTTTTAAGAAACCTGCTCTAGTTATATCTACTTTAGGGACATTTATTTGGAATAAAATTAAAGTGACTCGTAATTATAGTTTAATGCCTCAAAATAGAAAAATGTGCCAAATTGCTTAACCGAATACGTATTTGGTTGGGATTCCAGAATTACTCCTGAGTCAAGGCCCTGGAAAGTCTAAACCACTGCTTATCTTTAATTTATAGTTCTCTGCCAATGGCAGCACAGAACTGATTGTTCATAAGGTTAAAATTTTGGCTTAGGAAAGTTGTGCGTCGCAGAATAGGCATTAAGAAAAACTTCTATTGCATTCTTTTTCTTAGTTATGGCATCTGTTTCCCTCAGTTTAAGACTCCCTCATGGAGGTATATCCAATCCTGATTAACAGAGCTGTGCATAAAATGGTCTGACATAAAGGCAGTGTTCGATGAGCTCTTCCGGAGATTCCTGAGATCTTTCATTTCCGTCTTTCTGATTTTTTGGCCTCATCAAATGTTGTTGGTGGTGTCTCACTGGAAATGATCTGCTACACTTCAGCATTTCAACATGCACAGTTTAAAAAAAATGCATGTATCTCCAAGTTTACAGTAAGAGTAAGATGGAGAACTGTACTTTCTCCAGTGTCTGCAAACTTTCAAGCCTTTGGCATTGTAAGTCGAGATTCTTACAAAATGGAGTTTTCCCTGACGTGTCTGGATATGCATGTACCTGAACCAACTGAACTCAGTCTTTCAGGGAAGCAGAAGATGACCAAGGTAACTATGCAGGCAGTGAGGGCCCTGTGGCTTCATTCCTAAAGTTCAGCACAGTACTCCTCCAGCTGTGCAGCTTGGTTGATGTGTCAAGCAGGATCCTGGCAAGAAATAGATGGCACACTCAAACTGGGTGCTTTGAAGAGAGATGGTAGGGGGATAATTTATTAAGGTGAAGGTAAAGGAAGGAAGCTACAAGTACTTAGAGGCTAGTGAAAGCACGATTAGGAGGAGGGATTGGTGGTACCCTAGGCCAGAAGGGGCAAAATGAGGAAATAGTTACCAGAACCTACAGACAAATAACAGACATAGAAAGAGGAATGTGGAGACAGCTGTTGGCAAGAGCCTGGCTTCCAGTGGGCATGTAGCTGGCCTAAAGTAGTTGGACACAGCCAACCCAGAATGAACTTGTCCTTGATCTCCAAAACTGGGATCACAGAATAAGGGAGGCTGTTGATGCAGGTCAGACTCTTGAGAAATAGCAGGGTGAATTCTGGATCTGAAAGTGCAAATAGAAGTGATACAAAAACCAGTGAGAATGATCCCTGAACTCCAAGGTAATGGCTGCTGCTAATTCATAGGTACCTCTTTGTGAACTAAAAAATAAAATGTCCTTTTTGAGTGGCACAGACCCATTAGTGCACAGGATTTTGTTCTACTGAACTCTGATTAATCTGAGCCAATTGAAATAATTCTATTCCCCTTGCCAGAGTTAGATTTGGTGGTGGGTGCAGACCCTAGTCCAAACCAATTGGCACCCTGACTATCCCCTGGTAAAAGCCAGTGATTCAAGGGCAGGAATGTGTCTGACATTAGCCTGATGGGAGTGAAGTTCAGAACATTTGATCTATGATTGTTCAAGAAGTTCTTTCTTACTTCGCCAAATGAATGAGGGAGCCTGTGATCCTGAGAGATTCTGGCATTTACTATAACAGATACCAGACTAAGAATGAGCCCAGTGTATAAAGGGCAACAAAATGAAGAAATCATCTACAGCTCTTTTTATACAGACACATATACTTTTTGTATTCTGAGACTTTGCTGAAGTTGCTTATCAGCTTAAGGAGATTTTTGGCTTAGACGATGGGGTTTTCTAAATATACAGTCAGGTCATCTGCAAACAGAGACAATTTGACTTCCTCTCTTCCTATTTGAATATCCTTTATTTCTTTCTCTTGCCTGATTGCCCTGGCAAATTTCCAGTATTATGCTGAATGGTAGTGGTGAAAGGGGGCATCCTTGTCTTCTGCTGGTTTTCAAAGGGAATGCTTCCAGCTTTTGCCCATTCAGTACGATATTGGCTGTGGGTTTTTCATAAATAGCTCTTATTATTTTGAGCTATGTTCCATCAGTACTTAGTTTATTGAGAGTTTTTAGTATGAAGGGGTGTTGAATTTTATTAAAGGCCTTTTCTGCATCTATTCAGATAATCATGTGGGTTTTGTCACTGGTTCTGTTTATGTGATGGATTATGTTTATTGATTTGCATATGTTGAACCAGCCTTGCATCCCAGGGATAAAGCTGACTTGATTGTGGTGGATAAGCTTTTTGATGTGCTGCTGGATTCGGTTTGCCAGTATTTTATTGAGGATTTTTGCTTTGATGTTCATCAGTGATATTGGCCTGAAATTTTTTGTTGTTGTGTCTCTGCCAGGTTTTGGTATCACAATGATGCTGCCCTCATAAAATGAGTTAGGGAGGAGTCCCTCTTTTTCCATTGTTTGAAATAGTTTAAGATGGAATGGTATCAGCTCCTTTTTGTACCTTCCACAGCTCTTATATCATGAGTATCCAAGTTAAATTATGCCTGAAGTCTGCCCTGTCTCTATATTTTTTAATCACATTAGTCAGTACATTTCCTTTAGTTTCTAAGTCAGCCAGAGTTGAATTTTCTGTTGCTTGCAAACAGGGATTTGTAGTTCTTATTGACCTTTCTATTGTGGACAACTTAAAGCTTTTTTAGCTTCTTCATTATTCGAACCATATAGGACCAGGAAAACTTTTTAAAATTGATTCAACCCAAACTACATTTTTAACTCAAACCAGATTGATTTCAATCATTTCTGTGTATCTATCCTTATTAATGTTCACTTAGAAGTACCTGCAAAATTATTTAACACATTTCAGGTCATGGTTTCTGACACTTCCTTTAGCTTAATTGCAATAAAAGTATATTATATCATCTACTCAAACAATTGTATTTGCATTTGTCAAAAATGTTCCCTCTGAGTGGACATCTGCCCAAGATATCCCTTTCATATCCACAGTTTGATTTTCTTTTGGTAATTTCTTTTGTAAATTGGAAGTTTATTTTGCATTTAACTTCCTTGCTCGCAAATATGAAGGTCTAACTTAACATTAGAGAAATTGCTGTAAGAAGAAATTAAGAAATGCAAACTAAAGATTACCAACTCAGGAATTTGGTTAGATTTAACTATCAGGAGCTAGAGTTCAAAAGTAGAGTAAAATGTGGCTGCCCTAATCTCTGTAGGGATCAGAGCTTGTCTGAGTTCTTCTTTGTATATTTAGTTTATTTCTAGCTGACAAATAGAGATTTTTATATATTTAAGGTGTGCAACATAAAACAGTCTTTTAACCAGCTTCACAATAGGAAGCTAATCTTGACCTCTTGAAAAATCTGCATTTGCACTACCCCTAAGAAGTTGATGGTCACTCTCCTGATTGGGAAGGGAATGCCACATAATAATGCCTCAATAGACTTTCGTATGGTTTCTTGCTTCAAAGAATTTTGTTCGGACCCCTCAACAAGAAAGATAAAGTCCTCAGTGTCTTGTTTGGTTTCCAAACTGGTTTCCTCCCTTTTTCTTCTAGCATCTCCACTACACAATTCTGTTTTCTAGCTGTGTCTTTGCTCCATCTCTCCATCTGAAACGTCTTCTCAGGCTCCCCTCCACAAGCTTCCCAGGCTTACCTGGCCAACTCCTACTCTTGTGTGGCTCAGTTGGCACCTTCTCCAGGGCTTCTCTTTTCACACTCTGGCAGCTGTGCCTCCTTTGTGGTCTTGTGTTAGTTCTGTCCCTGCAATGCTATTCTCAGCGTTTCTTAACATGTGGACTCACCCACTAGACTGAGCTCCATAAACAGGGGCAATGTCTTACTTCTCTTTTTACATCCACTGACCATGAAAAGGGAGTCCTATACTTAATTCCACATACAAATGAATATTTTTATCTCTTTATCCAGGTAGGAACTCCCTCAAAAAATTAGATTTCATAAAACAAAACATATAGTTGAGTCAGTTGAGAAAACAATTAGTTTGCATTCAAGTTAGACATTGAATTGAAACTCCTTTTGATCTGTGAGTAGAGAAGATAAATTTAAATTCAAATAAAATTTTAAGTTAATAAAACTGTAAGTGATATTTTGTTTTTCCAGATATCATCCTAAGTATTTTTCCAATAGCTTTCTAATCAGCTTCCAAATACTTCTGCAACTGACGTGTTGATACCTTCAAAAACACAGCAACAAAGACAAAAACAAAAACAACTATTGCAGAGCATTCTTTGCAAATCTGTCATCCATATTGCATAATACGTATAGAGTTTCAGTTTTACAATATAAAAACAATTCTGGAGATGAATGGCAGTGACGCTAGTACAACATTATGAATGTATTTTATTCCATTGAACTGTACACTTAAAAGTGATTAAGATGGTAAATTTTATGATATATGTACTTACCACCAAAAACTGAGGAAAAATGTGTCAAACAAAAATTGCGGGTGAAAAAACATTGATTCTAAATTTCTGAGGGGCTTTATTCCACCTGCTTGGCTCTCATTTATAGCACCCAGATATTTCAAGGGAAATTCGAAAGTAGAATTAAAAGGCAGTCTGAACCGGGCGCAGTGGCTCACGCCGATAATCCCAGCACATTGGGAGGCCGAGGCAGGTGGATCACAAGGTCAAGAGATCGAGAACATCCTGGTCAACATGGTGAAACCCCATCTCTACTAAAAATACAAAAATTAGCTGGGCATGGTGGCGCATGCCTGTAGTCCCAGCTACTCGGGAGGCTGAGGCAAGAGAACTGCTTGAACCCAGGAGGCGGAGGTTGCAGTGAGCCGAGATCACGCTATTGCACTCCAGCCTGGGTAACAAGAGTGAAACTCTGTCTCAAAAAAAAAGAAAAAAAAAAAAGGTAGTCTGGTTCTTCTTAGGATAGAGCCTTTCTAGTCGAAGTCTTCTAGGAAACTCTATCTTCCTTTTTGAAATCATGAAGTGATTTCAAAATGTACCTTACTTGTCCAAGGATTGTGAACCAGCAAGGAGGGAGACTTCTTATCACCACAGATGGTAAGGGATGGTGAAGCAGGGTGGCATGGGAGCAAGTGTCCACTGAGGGGCCGGGTAAGCCTATGACCACAGTAAGGGGTCAAGGCAATGCAGAGGACAGCCACAGCTGATCAGCTAGCCCAGAGAGATATGCCCAGACGGGCTACTGACTGTGCAAGCAGGGTGGGGCTCCCTTCCTGGACCATGAAGGGGACGTTTAACTGACCATAGAGGGCTATGAGTACCTTAAGAGCTCAGTATCTGACTGAGAGAAAGTAGTGTAACGGTATTATAGCTGTTACAGGGAACATTTTAGGAGTAAAGACAGTCAACTCTATTTTTAAAATAAATAATTGTATACTGGGGCAAAGAGAGGCAGCCCAGCTCTGCCCTGGCAGAGACCTGCCTGAGAGTCAATAGGAGAACACTGAAGGGACTATGGATGCAAAAGAATGCAGGGAATAGGAACTAGGACCGCCTGTGCTCACCATCAGTCACAGGATTCAGGGCAGAGATATTGAAGAGTAACCACCATCACATTACTCTCTGCCCACGTTCTTACCATATGGGTACTCAGGATCACTAAAGAAAGCCTGCATATAATTTGCCTAGAATGCCTCTTTGATCCTTTTCAGTTAATTATCCTTTTATTTCAAAAACTTCATATTAAAAGTATTATAAACTTAAGTGCTACCTCTGCCATATCTCAGTTTCTCTATATGTGTGGATACAATTCTAGGTCCTCTATTATATTTCATATTGTTATATTTATCTTTCTATTTGTTACCACCATTATTTTATGGCTGCAGCTCTAGAATAAGTCTTTTCTCTGGTAGAGCAAGTGTTCCCCGACCTTGTTCTCCTACACCAACTTCCTAGATCATCGGAAATGCATTTCTGTTTTTTTTGAGACGGAATCTTGCTGTTGTCACCCAGGCTGGAGTGCAGCAGCTCAAGCTGGGCTAACCGCAACCTCTGCCTCCAGGATTCCAGTATTCTCCTGCCTCAGCTTCCTGAGTAGCTGAGATTATAGGAGCCCACCACCACACCCAGCTAATTTTTGTATTTTTAGTAGAAACGGGGTTTTACCACGTTGGCCAGGCTAGTCTGACCTCAGGCGATCCTCCCACCTTGGCCTCCCAAAGTGCTGTTATTACAAGCATGAGCCACCACGCCTGCCTGAAATGCCTTTCTTTATGTACT